TCACATTTGTTTCCGTGCTCATAGAAACGGTGAGCATAAAATCAAATTTTATCTAAAGCTTTATGGTCCAAACATTGAGAGAGAGTAACACTTAAAGTATCTAAAGCTTGGGCATCTGAGGAGTCAAAATATTGGTTTTGTTTAGTTTCCAGAGCATGAATCTTGTCCAGCAACTCCCCAATCTCCATCTTCTCTTTCTTAAGCCTAGAACCATGGGCGATCTATTCCCCCCCTAATCACTGCCTTATGACCCTCCCAGACCGCCTGCATGGATGCGTCACCAGCAGAATTAATCTCAAAATAGTATTGTAAGGAACGGGAGATTAGCTCAACCACCATCGGATCATCCAACAAATTCTCATTAAGTCGCCACACCATTTCAGTCCGGTAGGCAGCCAGAGGGCAGACAGAGAGCACCACAGGAGAGTGATCAGATATGGTAATAGAGCCAATAGAGGATTTAAGCGCATTACGCAAATAAAACTGATCAATGAAGAGAAGATCTAAACTGGAGTAAGAATCATGTGTCTTAGAATAATAACTATGATCTTTATCCCGGGGATGCATTACCCTCCAGCTGTCCACCAGGTGAAGTTCCCGCAAAAGTCGCCTAACGTCTCAGCGCCCGAAAAGATAGAGAAGCTCTGCCAGAAGATGCATCCAGGAAAGGGTTCAGAGAAACCTTAAAATCACCATACCCTCTTTAAAATCCTTCAGTTTCTTCAGGGTGACTGACAAAAAATCAACAGTGCAGACATTTGGAGCATAAAGTGTAACAAAAGTACAGTGGGGCAAAAAAGTATTTAGTCAGCCACCAATTGTGCAAGTTCTCCCACTTAAAAAGATGAGAGAGGCATGTAATTGGCATCATAGGTAGACCTCAACTATGAGAGACAAAATGAGAAAAAAAATCCAGACAATCACATTGGCTGATTTAGAAAGAATTTATTTGCAAATTATGGTGGAAAATAAGTATAAAAGACACCTGTCCACAACCTCAAACAGTCACACTCCAAACTCCACTATGGTGAAGACCAGAGTGCTGTCGAAGGACACCAGAAATTGTAGACCTGCACCAGGCTGAAAAGACTGAATCTGCAATAGGCAAGCAGCTTGGTGTGCACAAATCAACTGTGGGAGCAATAATTAGAAAATGGAAGACATACAAGACCACTGATAATCTCCCTCGATCTGGGGCTTCACGCAAGATCTCACCCCGTGGGGTCAAAATGATCACAAGAACGGTGAGAAAAAATCCCAGGACCACACGGGGGGCCTACTGAATGACCTGCAGAGAGCTGGGACCAATGTAACAAAGGCTACCATCAGTAACACACTACGCCGCCAGGGACTCAGATCCTGCAGTGCCAGACGTGTCCCCCTGTTTAAGCCAGTACAAGTCCGGACCCATCTGAAGTTTGCTAGAGAGCATTTGGATGATCCAGAAGAGGATTGGGAGAATGTCATATGGTGAGATGAAACCAAAATAGAACTGTTTGGTGGAAACACAACTCGTCGTGTTTGGAGGAGAGAGAATGCTGAGTTGCATCCAAAGAACACCATACCTACTGGAAGGGACCAGGACGACTGATCCATGTACAGGACAGAATGAATGGGGCCATGTATCGTGAGATTTTTAGTGCAAACCTCCTTCCATCAGCAAGGGCATTGAAGATGAAACGTGGCTGGGTCTTCCACCATGACAATGATCCCAAACATACCGCCTGGGCAACGGAGTGGCTTCGTAAGAAGCATTTCAAGGTCCTGGAGTGGCCTAGCCAGTCTCCAGATCTCAACCCCATAGAAAACCTTTGGAGAGAGTTGAAAGTCAGTGTTGCCCAGCGACAGCCCCAAAACATCACTGCTCTAGAGGAGATCTGCATGGAGGAATGGGCCCACATACCAGCAACAGTGTGTGCCAACCTTGTGAAGACTTACAGGAAACGTTTGACCTCTGTCATTGCCAACAAAGGATATATAACGAAGTATTGAGATGAACTTTTGATATTGACCAAATACTTATTTTCCACCATAATTTGCAAATAAATTCTTTCCAAATCAGCCAATGTGATTGTCTGGATTTTGTCTCTCATAGTTGATGTCTACCTATGATGCCAATTACAGGCCTCTCTCATCTTTTTAAGTGGGAGAACTTGCACAATTGGTCGCTGACTAAATACTTTTTTTGCCCCACTGTATGTGTGACCATACAAAGAACCCTTCAAAAATATAAAACGACCTTCAGGGTCAATCAATTGAGATAAAAGAAGAAATGGACAGGATTTGCAGATAGCAATCGAGTCTCCCTTGCCTTGGCCACAGGAGAAACACCATGATACCACTGATCAAAAACCCCAAGGGGCATATACGGGGTCGATTTGGCAGTGAAGTACTTCTCCTGTAAGAAAACCACATCTGGGGACAGATGCCGCAATTCCTGCCAAAGCCGACCCCTTTTCTGGGGAGAACACAACCCATGGACATTATAGGTGAAGACAGAGTGGTCAGTTTACTAGCCATAAGTACAATATATGAGAGGGAGCATATTTGGATTGGTAGCTATATTAAATTCTCCATTTAGTCAGGGTCTGCCTGGGTAAATCTGGGAATATTGCAATAGTAGCCCCATCAAAATCAATATGTGGGGAGGGGCGAGCCACTTTCATAATCGCCTCTTTCACAGAATATGTAATTTACAAATGATGTCCCGTGGGTTGTCAGCATCTTGAGGGACAGGCAGAAGGGCTCTATGAACCCTATCCAATTCAATTGCGTCAGGAGCAGAATCCCCCAAAATCTGGCGAAACAGGCCTTGAGTAGTAGGAAGGAGATCTGAGCATGTGAATATGCTGTCTCCTGTCCCTGTTTTTCTTGATCATCAAGCTGGTCCAGTAAAGTATTAAACATATCTTCATGATGGAGAACCGTCTCTTGTATAGTAGTAACTGTCTACAAAACGTCTTCATGAGCGGTCTCCATTGCCTCAACTTTATGTCCCAGTGCCACTGTGTCTTCCCTGAGCCCCTCCATGGCCTGCTTGTGTGAGAGTTCCAAAGCCGTAATCAACTGCTGTATATCGGCCTTAGTTGGGAGAGCTCTGATATGCTCCCTAATATCTCACTCACCCTCAGTGACATCCAGCTCCGCCAGAGGGGATGACCCAGTAACCGATCTGGGGGGGGGGGGGGGGGGGAAACGAGGGGCTAGGGCACTGTACCTGCGAGGAGAATGATGGTGCAGGGGAGCCGCCACTGTTCGTAGGGGAGGAATGCAGGGCTGCCTCGTGGTCGGGCGCCATCTTGGCCGCGGTCCCGGAGCCAGCTTGATGCGCAGTAAAGAATGTTTGTAGCCCGCTGTTCCACGATCCGCCACCTCCGGGTGGGTGGGAGGAGGTGCGGCGCTTGGGAGGCATGTTATGGGGGAGGCAGGAGAGCTGGGAACTGCTGCTGCAAGGTTAATTCTGTCCTGGGTGGCCGGAGCTCAACGTTCAGACGTCTTCACACCATGTCCCTCAGGCCACGCCCCCGTTTTTGGCTTTTGATGTTTTTTTTTTTCTACAGCTAGTAAACGCCCCAGCATGTTATCCTGTGTCCTTGCGCACACAGACTGTAATCAATGTTTTTTGGCTGGAAAAAAAACCCCAGGACTAGTGGGTTTCTAGAGTTTTTTTTTTTTTTTTTAGCTGTAAAAAAACGCTTGAATGCTGAACGAGATAAAACTCTGCAAACCGGTGTTGTTTTTTTTGGACTTTTTTTGACCAAAAAAAGTTTTTGTTTTGGTAAAAAAAAAAATCTAAAAAATGCAAACACCTCTAAACGCTAATGCAAAACCGCAAAAAAACTGAAAAACTCATGTTTTTAACGTGACTTTACACAGGTAAGGTTACCAGCGTTATCAAAACACCCAGTGTGCATGGAGCCTGAAGCACCAGCCACACAGACTCCCATCTGCTCACCAACCCCATTAGCAACGTTATTCCTTATATTCGCTGTTAAATCGCTCCTCAAATGAAAACAGACCTCTTCCCCTCCATCTACCTCATGCCTCTGATACAAGGAGTACCCCTGGACAGTCGAAAGGCAGTCATGTAAGCTGTCATTTTTTGATATTCCCATAAAGTCAAATTCCTCCTTTTTATGTAGCAGAAGTTCTAGTTCCTCCGTTTTCTTAAACGTCTAGCATTTGTGTACATGCACACATTTTATCTATCTTCGCCTGCAGTGAAAGTTTGGTGACAATCCTAATCACTGCTTTATAAATATACCCTTTAACAACATTTTTATTAATGGGCCAGCCATTTCCTAATTACTTAAACTCTGGTTTGTTCACCCACTGTGCTGATAAATGGCAGCTACACTGTGAGCAATGCCAAAAAGATACTTGATGACCCAGTTTCCTGTGAACAACCTTTTTTGACCACAGCTTAAATTGAAGTGAAGTGACAAGGTGATGCACAGAGATTAAACGAATCCTCCCACATAGGTTGCACCTTTTTTTTTTTTATCTGGAGCCCTCTCTCCTCTATATCAGTTCAAAGTCCCAAATTTGCACAGCTTGTCTGAGCTTCAACAGGTAGAAGGTGGGGAACTGGAAAACACTGCATGATAAGTATAACCTGAGACGTGAGTGAAGAGAAAGGACACACCCACTACCCAGCACATAGGAAAACCTGCAAAGCTGAGGCTGTCTATTACAGGTGATGTACTGGAGGCCCTCCCCCTTGTCACCCATGATTGCTTGGAGTCAGGGAAACCTTTAAGCAGTGACTCATGCAAATAGAGGAACTAGGCAGCAGGCAGAAACCACACTAAGTGCTTTGGTAAGTATACACAAAGGATATGCTCCTTTTGAATTTTTTGTGTCAGAGGTTTACAACCCCTTCCTGAATTTCATTGCTACTGGTTCAACTACCAGTTACATTCCCAAAAAATATTTTAAGAGGTTATTGGTATAGAAAGATAAGAAATTTTCTTTATAAACTAGTTTCTCTTTTATTTTAGGAACTCTGTGAATTATTTTTACATAGTCTGAATAATCCAAAGGCATGCAGAAGAGAAATCTCCACTCACACAGTATCGTCTCTCCATGAGAATCTGGCTCAAAACACCGAACTTGTACAAGCACTCCTTGGGTTTCTTCTAGTGGATGACAGTCATTCCATGAAATTTGAATATAATTCTCATCTCCAAAATATTACTGTGGACTTCATTTTAGACTCGTTGACATCCCTTCAGAAACATCACCAGACTGAGGCACCATTTTCTCAAACTGTGAACCTGATCTACAAGATCTTAAGCATCATGTGGTTTGATTTGGATCTCCAAGAAAGTGAGCTCAAGCATTTATGTACTAAACTCTTTAGAGCCTCCTGGGTTAAAGGATATATTTCAGAGGAGCAAGTTCAGGCATCTATACTCAGGAAACAGAATGCTGGTTTGGTTAATCTGTACGGCAATGTCATCAATGAGAAAACAAAGACATATGTTGCTGCGCAGATATCTTCAGGAAAAGGTTTGTAATTTTACTTTTTGCACAATCAGGTATTTTTTTTCCTAGACGTTAGGGGGGATCGATCTTGGATATTTATAATTGTTGAATAATTCTGTGATATCCGAATCACACACACACACAGCAACAGGTAAATAAATTGTGCATCAATAGAGATACATTGCTTTAGGTCAGTGTTTATTACCTATGGGTTGGAGTGCAAAATTAGTTTGTCCAAGCACATAATTGGTAGACCAGTGAAGAGTGAAATGGCACACTGACTGTGATGGACAGCACAGGCACAAATGAGAACCTTGAAAAAGGTACTTTAATGGAAACAGATTTATTATTTTTTGTATGTGTTTTACAGTTATTTGTATGACATTATCCCAATATGTGTATTGCTGTGCCTCCCTATACACAATCACAATCACTTATCACTAATCACTAAGTGACATCATTGTGCTGAAAAAAATCACAACCTAATATTACTCAAACATCCAAATCTTCATATAAAACATTGATCAATTCATGAAATTCAGTGCTCATGCACTTTAGTGCAAATAAATACAAGTAACCGATAATCAGAAAAACGTCCTCGATCTATAAAGTATTCACATATTTCCTTAGTGTCTGTTTTCCAGGTAAAGGAGCTTGGGGGGTGGAGCACACAGCCCACACACCCTCCCAGCTCTGTCGTCCTCTCTGCTGCTATCACTGCTCCTGTAGTGATGAGGTGTGATAGATTGGTTGCTGGAACATGATTGGACCATCAATTGGTCTTCTATCCGGGGTTTGGTGCACAGTGTCTTCCACTTTCCGAAAGTGGAACGCATGGTGTTTCCTGATCAGTGTTTGTCAACTTCAGGGAGTTGGAGTGCATTAGACATCCAACTTGTTGACTATAGTGTGGGAATGATAATTTGTCATGTCCCTGATGAAGTCCATCTGTGACTAAATGCGTAGGGACCTGTGAAGTCATTAGGCTGGACACTGTGGCCATTTTGTTGAATGTTCAATGAACACTTCCTTTTGTATTAATGTAAGTGCAATATTCTTTCATTAACCACTAGCCTACAGGGCACTTCTACCCCCTTACTGCCCAGGTCAATTTCCAGCTTTTAGCGCTGTCGCACTTTGAATGACAATTGCGTGGTCATGCAACACTGTACCCATATGAAATTTTATAATTTTTTTTGTGACAGAGCTTTCTTTTGGTGGTATTTAATCACCTCTGGGTTTTTTTTATTTTTTCTTAAACCAAAAATCACTGAATTTTGAAAAAAAAAAATGTTCTTAGTTTTTGTTATAACATTTTGTAAATAAGTGATTTTTCTCCTTCACTGATGTGCACTAATGAGGCTGCAGTGATGGGCACTGATAGGCTGCACTGATGAGGAGGCACTGGTAGGTGGCACTGATGGGCATTGATAGGCATCACTGATGGGCACAGATATGACACTGATAGGTGGCACTGACTGGCACTGATAGGTTGCACTGATTGGCATTGATGGATGACACTGAAAGGCAGCTCAGATGGGCACTGATATGTGGCATTGATGTGCACTGGTATGCGGCACTGATGGGCACGTGGCACTGATCGACACTGACAGCTGGCACTGCTGGGGCTACACTGATCATCAGTGCCCTGATGATCAGTGTACATGTCTCCTCTCCTCTCGAGCTGTCAACGTGACAGCTCGAGAGGAGAGAAATGCCGATAACCTGAGCCGCGCATGCACGGTGGAATGGGAGGACGTCATATGACGTCCTCTCAGAACGAGAGAACCACCTTGCGCCCGTCATTGAACTATATCGCGGGAGGTGGTTAAAGAACTTTCCTAGAAACACTGCACCATAAAGATTATTAAATTTGTGTAGTCTGAGCATGGATAGTATATTTTGGTTTTATATGCAATATATTATATTTTTGTTTATTTGTTCAATTAAAGCGGTAATAAAACCACAAAGTGAAAAAGCAAAAAAAGCCAGCAATATATGCAGCACCATCATGTGGATATATAAACAAAATAGAATAAAACTATAACAATGAAAGTAATCGTGATAAACAATCTTAACAGAAATAAAATGCACAGCTAAAATTGCAATACATTTCTGCATGCAAGAAGCTAAAAATAACCAGAAATTAACTATCATTAATAAAACCATTTAGAACTCATTCACTGTTCAATCCAAAAGAGGTAACTGTTTTAAGGGTATAAATCCAGTGAGTGTCTACCCTAGAGATTTCTCGCCGGATAGAACTACTCCTCCAACTGGAAGTAAATGCGTCTATGGCTGAAAAAGAGGTACCCTCTCCGTCTTTCCCATGACAAAATGCGCAATGTTTTGAGACACTATGGCCAGGGAACCCCCACCTGATATTGGCTATATGCTCATTTTAATCAAGTTTTCAAAGCTCTTACTGTGCAGCCACATACTGCAGACCGCAGGGACGTTGGATTAAATAAACTACATTGATAGTTGTGCAGGTAATAAATGATTTCATGTCATAGAATCTAGAGGTAGTATTCGATTTGGAAGCGAGAGAAATGGCTTTCTTTCATCTGATTTTAATTTGCACACTCCATATTTTTGGCAGGGCAAATAACCTGTAATGTCTTGGGAAAAAAAGTGGGTCTCTTAGGTTGATCTACACTGCTAAAAAAAAAAAAAAAAAATTAAGGAACACTTTTTTTAATCGGAGTATAGCATAGATATTGATCTGGTCAGTTAAGTAGCAGAGGGGTTGGTAATCAGTTTCAGCTGATTTGGTGTTAATGAAATTAACAGGTTCACTAGATGGGCAACAATGAGATGACCCCCCAAAACAGGAATGGTTTTACAGGTGGATAACACTGACGGTTTTTCCCTACTCCCATCTTTTCTGACTTTTTTTTCACTAATTTTGCATTTGGCTAGGGTCAGTGTCACTACTATTAGCATGAGGTGATACCTAGACCCTACAGAGGTTGCACAGGCAGTCCAACTCCTCCAGGATGGCACATCAATACGTGCCATTGCCAGAAGGTTAGCTTTGTCTCCCAGCACAGTCTCAAGAGCATGGAGGAGATTCCAGGAGACAGGGAGTTACTCTTGGAGTGCTAGACAGAGCCTTTGAAGGTCTTTAACCCATCAGCAGGACCGGCATCTGCTCCTTTATGCAAGGAGGAACAGCATAAGCACTGCCAGAGCCCTACAAAATGACCTCCAGCAGGCCACTGGTGTGAATGTCCCTGACCAAACAATCAGAAACAGACTTCATGAGGGCCCGAGTCCTCTAGTGGACCCTGTGCTCACTACCCGGCACCTTAGCGCTCAATTGGCATTTGCCAATGAACACCAGAATTGGCAGGTCCACCACTGGCGTCCTGTACTTTTCATAGATGAGCAGGTTCACCCTGAGCACAATTGACAGGTGTGAAAGAGTCTGGAGAAGCTTTGGAGAACGTTATGCTGCCTGTAAGCATGACCGTTTTGATGGGTCAGTGATGGTCTGGGGAGGCATATCCGTGGAGGGACACACAGACCTCCTGCAGGCTAGACAATGGCACCCTGACTGCCTTTTAGGTATCAGGATGAAATCCTTGGACCCATTGTCAGAGTTTACGCTGGTGCAGTGGGTCCTGGGTCCTACTGGTGCATGACAATGTCCTGCCTCGTGTGGCGAGTATGCAGGCAGTTCCTGGAGGATGAAGGAATTGATACCGTTGAATGGCCCCCACGCTCTCCTGATCTAAATCCTATCCAATCCACCTCTAGGATATTATGTTTCGGTATATCCTGCCGCCACCAGATTGTACCTCCAAGTGTCCAGGAGCTCAGTGATGCCCTGATCCAAATCTTTGGAGGAAATACCCAAGGACATCATCTATCTTCTCATTAGGAGCATGCCCTGACGTCAGGCATGCATACAAGCATGTGGGGGCCATACGAACAAACCATTTTGAGTTGATGCAATGAAATTTCAGCAGAATGGACTAGCCTGCTGCATCATTTTTTCACTTATTTTCAGGGTGTCTTTGAATTCAGTCCTCTCTAGGTTGATAGTTTTCATTGCCATCAATGGGGTATCCTTGCGTTCCTAATGCATTACCCAATCCATATCCGTATAGATATCCAGCATGATATATTTACCCATTGAGATCTGATGTGTCTTCAATGTGTTCCTTTACTCGATAAAAACAACTGAGGGATGTTCTGGAATTCGAGGTCCTAATGTTCTACTTCTATTGTTATTTGAAACTTTCCGGTGTTTCTGAAATATCTTTTCTATTTCAATAATGTTTATTTTGGCTTTAACAAGTAATAATTTGCCCACACAGGGGCTAGCAATGACATTTGTAATGAGAATAGGCTTACATGTAAGCAAAGATGGCAAAATTAAAACATTGAAAGCCAGTCATGGACTGACACGGCAGCAATAATTCAGCATATCTTAGTAGGCTCAAGTGGTAGAGGGCCAGGAGGGACCTCTCCATGGCAGTTGGATGTCCTGAAATATCCTTTTAATGTCATAATGTTGATTGGAATATGTGATAACAAAAGAGAATCCGAAAGAATCTATTCCCACGTCTTTTAGTCCAACCTCCTCAATTAGTTTTGTCCAATTCAGCACAATCCTATCCCTTCTATCTAAATATAACTTTTAGAAGGGATGCTTGTTTATAATAGTCCTTCTGAAGAGAACAATTGCGTCTAATCCTAATGAACTAACAATTTGGAAAGTATCTGCACCTTGAGGGATGATGGCAACTGCCCTGCCCAAAAAAATGGTTTCGATCCATATCCTTGAAGTAGGTGGTAGCCACAACAGAGCTGTCCCTAACTTAAATTTTTAAGTCTAGAAAATAGACCTCATGTTGACTAGCCTCATGCTGTAGTGCAATACCCAATTCATTTATACAGTATTAGGATGTCGCATGTACTCATATTAACCACATGCCGCCCAGCCACT